CACACACACACACACAGAGACAAACATAGACACACGCACAGACACACACACAGACACAGACACACACACACACACACACACACAGAGACACACATACACACACGCACACACACACACACACACACACACACACACACACACACACACACAGACACACACCTAAGTTTAAAAATTAGGATCTTCCCAAATTTATGTAATAAGTAACTTAAAAATAACTATGTAGAGACACCTTGTCTGCTTGCCTTATGACTTCTTTAGGGTAAATTCTTAGATGTGGAATAGGTGGGTCAAAGGGTTTACATATCTTAAATTGTTATAGGTGTTGCCAAATTGCCTTCCAGAAAGGTTGTACCAAAATTAATTCCCACCAACAGCTTACTCGAGTCCCCACTTCCTACACCCTCGCCAGTAATGGGTGTTAGTTAGCGCCCTTTGAAACCTTTGCCCATCTGATAAGTAGGCGGCATCTTATTTGTGTTTGCTCTCCCTTAATTACTGGGGAAATGAAGCACTCTTCTTTGGCAATTGTGTCTCTTCTTTTACATTCTTCACAACGCTGTCACCCATTGGATTTTGCTTATAACATCTTATTAGAATTCTCATGCCCTCCATTTTCTATGGTGTGTGCCCATCTCCTCCTGTGGTTTCAATGTTTGATCTTTTGGCATTTAGAGTTGTCACATCACTGCATCTGTCTATCCTTGGTTACACTTTCCAACTTAGACCTTTCTTTGTGGTTGAATGACCAACCTCCTGCCCCTCACCAAGATTAGACAGTTTCCATGAGGAATCATTTTGAGTCACTGGGAAGCAACATTTTGAGGCAATTTTTGGAAAGTAAAACATGAAATATAATGTGTTACTGAAAAAGACTCTGAGTTTCCTCAGGCTTCATGTTTCTCTAAGGAATGTCTTTCATTTTCCATAACTCTTGAATGACATTAAAGAAAACACTTCAACAGTTTTCATACTTGTAGATTAGCATATTCACACTTGTATTGAGCTCAGTATTTCTGTGATGTATTTGGTTATTGTCTTTGTTTCTATTGCTGTGATAAAAAACAAAAAGCAAAACAAATAAGAAAAGCAACATATGGAGGGAAGGGTGTATTTCAGCTTATAACTTAGGTCACACTCCATCACTGATGGAAGTCAGATGAAGCAGAGGCCATGGAGGGGTGCTGCTTACTGGCTTGCTCCTCCTGGCTTACCTCAAGATACACTCCAGGATCACAGGGCCATGAATGGCACCACTCGTAGTGGGCTGGGCCCTTCCATACCGATCACTAATCAAGACAACTCCCCCACAGTCTTGCTTACAGGCCAATCTAATGAAATCATTTCCTCAATTAAGATTCCCTTCTCTCAGATGACTCTAGTTGTGTCAAGTTGAGAAAAAAAGCAAATCAGGACAGATAGTCTTGCTAATAACAATAAAATAAAATTAACATACTGTTTGTTGCATTATAAATCTAAGAAACACACAAATTTATATTCATATCATGTTCCCTATAAACTAAATGATTTAATACATGATTTCATTTAAATGTCACAGCAACACTGTATGTTTTCCTTTTATAGATGAGAAGATAGGTTGGAAGTGGTGAAATGACTTCTTGATGTCACATAGTTAAGGGTTGCCTGAGTCAGGATTCAAACTCATGTCTTTTGAAACAAAATCGACTTTCTCCCAGCCATCTCTTACTGCTAAATAGAAGGTCAGAGCATGGTTTCCTTGTTGGAATTTCTGCAGTTTGGATCTTATTCAAGGTGCTAATTTGATCTTAACTTCAAAATGGGTCACCGTTTGTTGAGCTACAATTGTTTTCTCTTGAGTGAAGATTGGAAGGTGGGCAGCTTCCTTAACTGATATTTTATTCAGTGGGAAGCACACAACCTTTAGAGAGGGACTGCCCATCTTCTCACAGCTGACCACCTCTGTGTCTGGCTCTTGAGTGACAGTCCCTTCCACCCCCCTCATCTCAGGGGAGCAGAAACTCTGCCCCTTTCACTGGTTCCCTCTAAGCAGGGACAGAACTGGCCCAGGAAAGCAGTTACAGGCTCATTCCTGGGCTAGCTGCCTGCAGAGCCTCAGGGGTCAGGGTCAGTCCAACCCAACACAGTGGAACCAGATTAGACTATGTTGAGTCCCCACCCCTCTCCCACTCTTTCCATATCCCCCACCCTTCACCCCCTACCTCCCATACCCCACCCACGAGCTCCTGCTTTGGCTCTTACTTTCCCAGAGATTACCTACTGACTGATGAACAACAGTGGGGGTATACATGTTCCCTTTGGAGTGACTGACTTATTTCTACTCCCATAGGGGTGTGGTACTCTCCCAACCCTGACAAGCAAGATGAGCAGGTCTGGATTATTTATTCTTGTTCATCATCAGCTGTCTAGACTTCAGGCCAGTGTGATGCGTGACAACAGAAACACTCTATCCCGTGCAGAGGAGGCCTGTTTAAACCAACTCCTGAAGGATGATGAGAGTCTCCTCAGGCATCCTACACCGAGACTGTCACTTTATGTAGAGGAATCAGCACATTCCAGCAATGAAGAAACAATGCTGATGAGGATGGGTGATTCATGGTGACAGGGGCCCCGGGTACATCCAGAGAGGGCAGCCCATGGAGGTAGGGAGGAGGAGACATGGGCTGCATGTTCTACGAGGGATCTATAGCCCATCAGAGTACAGATGTGATGTGCCCCTGCATCTTTCTCCATCCTAGCTAGAGAAGCTGGGTGAACCCTCCTGGCCTTCCCATCACTGCATGGTCTGCATACTCTTCCCATTCCTTGCCAGCTGTCTCGTCTCCTGCTACACATTTGTTTCCCCTGTCTTTTTCTCCAAAAAGCCACAACGTTTTGCTATAGAAACCACACCTTGACCTTGCTCAGATGGGTTCCCACACCCCTAGAATAAAACACAGAGTCGTTGTCAGAGTTCTGTATGGTCAGGCACCAGACAACCTCTGTGTTCTCACCTTTTATTGTCCACCAACCCTCTTGCTTCTTACACACACTCTGGTCTCCTTCCATCATCTCCTAGCCTTTAGATTTGCTAGTTCTGCTGGACCACTTTCGTATCTCCATGTGACCTGTTTATATTATTGAGTCTGGGCTCTAATCCAATTCTCTAAAGGACTTCTCCCCCTGCAATCCCCCCCACTACCTTATTTAGCAATAGGGCCATTTGTCACAATCTATGCCACTTTTTGGACTTGACATGACTCAGGTGATGAAGAATGAAGAAATAGTAGAAGTGCTGATACAAGGTGGGCTGTGCATTTGGGTGAAGAAACACCAGATGGGGACCATAAACTCAGTGCGCTTATTATGTGCAGCACAAACGAGCAGGGAGGTTAGTTAATCACAGTATGGGGCCTCTGTAGGGGAGCAGTGTCAGGCTGCAGTCATCTGGGACCAGGAATATGCAGTCAGTACTCTCTGTACACACTGTACACCTTCACACTTAGACTAGGGGTAACCTGACCCTGGATAGGTCAGGCCTTCCCATTCCCATGGGAACGAGGCATTGGCATCCCTGGCATGGGCATGCATGCCCACTCAGGACTTCATCCCACGCCACAGCCTTTCCATCCTTCTTTAGCTTACCTTAATTTTCTGCATGCTGCCCATCACCACCTGGTGTTAAATTATGCATTTATTTACTTGTCTTTTGTCTTTCTTCCTCATCTGTAGGCAACTTCTGTGAAGGAAGTGTCCCCAGAGTCTAGGAAAGCATAGCAGATGCTCACTAAACATTGAGTAAAAGGATAGATAAAAGACTGGATCCTTTGAAGAAAAGGGCTGTGCCTTATCTTGTCAGTTAAGGTTCAAGACCTGGGTGAGAAGCTAGTGTCATGCCCACTCAATTCAGGCTGATGTCGTGGTAAGTAGAGACTGGAAGCAATGTAGATTTAACTATGCATCCTATATTTTCTTGATCACACTTTTTGTCTGTTAGAGTTTCATGTGCCATGAGGCCTGGCTACTCTTCAGTGGTAGCAAAACCCCCAGGAGTCCACCTATTGCTCAGGACTGGCATTTCTGTGCAAATGCTTTGTGCATCCCTTGCCAGGTCTCTGTGGTTCATTCTGTTTACAGTTCACCCCTAGTTGTTTATGGTGACTAGCCTGGGGCACTCAGGGTTAGTCAGGCTCCATCAGCGGTGTGGATTTGACTCAAGGATGGGAGAGGCTGGTTGGAGAGCATACGGTTGGGTAACAGGAGATAATACATCCTTTCTCCTCCCCTGAGATGCAATTTCAGTCATTCTCACAGCGCATTTTCATTGTACATTAGATGCAAGAGCCCCAGCTAGTGTGAGAACCAAATGTGCAATGAGAACCCCCCCACACACACACACAGTCATGGCACAGTTCCTGCATGGCTCCCAGGCTATGTTCTCAGCATTGAGAAAACTCAAATGTCTAAACAGCTGACCTTGTGGTGTGGTGGTAGGTTTGCACAATTCCCAAAGGGTCATTTAGTCATATGCATCCCACAAGGGAGATCAAGTGCATTCTGAGTAGAGGAAGATGGGGGTGTACATAGGACTTGATTCCTCTACAACCTCCCTAAGCCACTGATCAGCTACTGGAATTGTCCCTCCTGGAAACAGTTCTGTTCTTAGTAGCACCTGGAAGCTGCTTTTGACTGTAGTTGGTCCTTTTGCTTTTGCATATTCCAGAATGTTTAGAAATACTGCTGAACTCTTCACCATCTTGCATCAGTCTCTTTCTCCAGCTGGAAAATATTAGTGAGAATTGCCTCGTTATTTGTTGGTAGAGAGCAATCATTCCTCATCAGTTGGGGTGGAATTCCCTGGTGATCTTTTGCCTCTCAATCATGCAATAGTCCCACATCACCCATCCAGTGTTGTAATTCTCTGGTTACATTAAGCCTGCTGGCTTTTCTGGAGTTATTGGTTATAAAGACAGATTTAGAAATTGTTTATGAAGTTATTTTTAGTGGACAGTCATGCAATGAGCTCTAATTGTCACTCTTCCAAAACTCCAAAGGATCCCACTAAAATTCTAGGGACTAGGTCCAGGGCAACTCTTTGCTGGGATGACAGTACAACCGTTGGCACCACACCTAAGGTTGTCTGTCAGTCACCCCTGAGACCACTAAATAATCTTCCTTTGTTTTCCATGACACCAGTTGTCAGATGAAGGACTGGGGATTGTACAGGAGAGGAACTCAGTCTGTTTTGATGAATAATGAATTCCAAGTATGTAATACAGTGGCTGACACATAGAAGATGCTTGGCTAATATGTGCTGGCTGAATGAATGTCTTTCCTATCTATGATGACTTGCCCACTTTTATAACTGATGGATTTGAAGTCACCAAATGGCTGATATTTATATTACATGCATCTGATATACACATACAATGGTGGATAAAGTCTCATGACCCATAGTCTTAGAACTCAGCATAATGCTTATCCTCAGATGGGTTGAGATGGGCAGCGTTGAATGGTTTCTGAAGGAGGTATTTCTTAGAAACTTACAACATTTCATTTTGAAAACATTAAGGGTGTGTTCACTGAGTGAAAACTAATCAAGACACACAGATTTGAGCATCGTTCTGCATTATGTTATTCATTACAGTGTTTGTTTCCTTTTCCACACAATAAGACTCTAGAACAAATTGTTTAAATTCATATCTAGGATCACCCATTTTTAGCTAGATGCTCCAAGAACAAGCTACTCAGTATATGTCTGTGCCTCCTTTCCTTCATCCACGAGTCAAGAACAGCAGTATATACCCATCGTATAGTTGTTGAGAAGAAAATGATTTATTGCAGAGCAAATAATCAGGAAGTTGCCAATGATTAGGTCTTGGCTTTCAGAAGGTGAGATATTTCCAATCTGCCTCTTTCAAGGGCTTGGATACCATCCTTGGAGGTGTTAGCACACTTCCCTGATTCCAGGCAGGACCACCTTGCATTTCTCAGGATTGATACTCTTTTGTATGTTTGTTTTTAGGTGCTTTGCAAAGTGTGTAGACCTTAGAGATGGGGTGAGCTATTAAAATACATACTCTCTACATCTTAACCTATAGAGACCTTGTGAGCTATTTAACAGACCATAAAATATCTTCCACAGTATTCTATCTGTGCTGTCCAACATGGCTGCCATAGATCACCTATGACTGGGTATGTTTAACTCTCACTAAAATCAAATAAAATTACAACAAAAATGGAGCTCTGTTGTAGGTCTTAGCAGTAGCCTTGAGTACAGAGTTAGAGCATATCCCTCAGGAACTTTTATGGGATAGGGCTGATGGATATAAACTCTCTGAAGCCCAAAGAGCCAAAATCATAGTACCAAAGTCACACAGCTAGTTAAAATTACCCAGCTAGCTGGTGTATAATACAGGTCTCATGTTTTCTGTGTCAAGATACTTTTCACTTGTCAATGAAGACACTTACAGCTCCATCCTACCCTCTAGGGTCCTAGTATATCACAACTGTCTTAGCCATTGTTTCTGGGACGCTATCTTGGATGGCTCCGGATTACCTGCCTGAGGGTCCATTTTACTAATGGAGATCTATTTTGCCTTTCCATTCCACAGTCTTTTCTTTCAGGGATCGGCAGGCCATTAGATCACTCATACACAAAGGACAACAATGCACCAGCCATTTCTTCTAAGTGATTTACATCAACAGAAAACTTTAAGATACAGGATGGTTATGTGCTATGTTCCAGGTAGTTGTGGGAGCGTGATTCGAACTCATAGAGTCTACGTGTGCCCCAACCCCCTTCTTATCTGCTACGCTACACAGTGCTTATCAAGTGGCCACCCTGCAAAGAACATGGTTTCTGTTTTATTTTTTTTTGTATGATGTGTGTATCTGAATGTACATGTATGTACATGTCTACATGTATGTGGATGCACATGCCTGTGAGTACATAGAGGTCATAAGAGGATGCTAGTTGTCCTGCTCTATCATTTTCCATCTTATTCCCAGGAGACCTGATTGCTCACTGAACCCGGAGCTCACCTGGAGGCCGAATGGCCAGCCAGTGAGCTCCCAGGATCCTCCTGTCTCTGCCTCTCAGAGTTACAGACACATGAGGCCATACCCAGATTTTATGTGGATGATGGAGATCCAAACTCAGGTCCTCACGCTTGTACAGTAAGATCTCATATCCACCGAGTCATCTCCCAGCCTGAGAACATGGGTCTTTACGGTAATTGCCATACAAGAAAGAACGAGGCCAGGAATAGAAGAAGACAAAAGTATATCTCAGTATATGGGTTACATATAGTTCTAGAAGCTAAAACCATGAACATATCTATGAATTTATTAATTTTCTGCATCTCTAAAGCCACCCCTTTTCTCTTCTTCCTTCCTGAAACCTAAAGCAACTCCCTGCAATGGTAATGCCCAGAAAACAGTTGACAATTGTTCCCAGGCAGGTCTTCTGCTAGGCTTCTTCCTTCCTGGGCCTGGGTCCATCTGGATGAGTTATGAGAAACCCTCTGCTGACTGGTCAGGGAGGCAGGTGAATGGAGGAGGAGCATGAAGGATGAGAGCTGTCACTTGGTGCTCTATTGACAAGTCTGAGCACCCAGCATGGGTTTCTCAGTTAGGCCCCAGAGTTAAGAATGTCTGCGACAAGAAGGATTTCTGCACAGATTCACAAGTGAGGATAGAGGCAAATTTCTGACATGCAGATAGGTTGAGTAGTTGATTTCCTGGTTTGGCAATGGTTCTTATTTCTTCAGAATATCTTTGCCCACACTTGCTGGTAAGGCACATTGGCAGCAGTGCTGTTTAAACATGCTGTGGCTGGCATTGTTCAAGCAGCAGCAGAAAGGGTTTTAGTCTCTCAAGGCTACCTCGTTGTGGGTGTGGAGTCCCTCCCAAGATTTCAAATAGGAGAACGAATAATGTACCTAGTTTCAATCACCTCTGCTAATCCATACAATCAGAACTGTGTTATGATCAAGTTAATAGCAATCTATGGTGACTTTTTTGATTCTTGTTCCTTCAACTTTGGTATTTGAATTTAAATTTCTTGTGCTTAACATCTTCTTCACTAAATGTTAGTGCTTCTGTCAAGTCCGTCAAGTCACTGATCATTTTCCTATGGTGTTTCGGTTATGGGTAGGTGGAATTCAGTAGCCAAAGGAACTTCCTCCCTGAACACTCTCCTCCTAGGAATGCCATAAGCTTAAGAAGACTGTCATAAATCTTATTTTTTATTTCTCTTCCTTTCCCTTTTCTTTTGCAGGCTAGAAGGTAAATTCCACAAAGGAACTCATGGTGGATATATTAACCAACTTCCCCTGACCAAATCCTCCACCTAATTGGCAGTCACCATCCCCTCTTCAAAAGATACTGTCTCTCAAAACCCTCAGTCACAAACTCGCTGCTAAGGCTTCTTACACACCACACTTTCACACAAGTTTTAATTAATGGACTAATTAAATGGTTATGATTATGTTAATTAGGTGAGTCCAAAATTTTCTTTTTTTCTTTTACTTTCTTTTTTTTGTTTTGTTTTGTTTTTTGAGACAGGGTTTCTCTATGTAGCTTTGGAGCCTATCCTGGCACTCGCTCTGGAGACCAGGCTGGCCTTGAACTCACAGAGATCTGCCTGCCTCTGACTCCCGAGTGCTGGGATTAAAGGTGTGCACCACCAACGCCGGCTTCTTTTACTTTCTTATTCCAACTTTCATTTGCTAGGTCAGGAATAAATCTTTCAGGCCCAGATGACACTCACCTGAGAAGATCCCAGAAGCCTAGTCAGGGACCTCCGTAACCGGCTCATTAAGTGGTCAGGCTACTGAAAGGGACCAAGGAAGCTGGAGTAGGCATCACTGTAAAGAACAGACAGAATGGAAACAGAGAATGAATAAGAAGGGTGCTGATACAATGGAGTATCAAAGACAAGTCGAGGCAAGATTTGAACAGGAGTGCTAGAGTTAAGATGTCCTTTGCAAGCTGCCTCGGTCGCCATTCAAGTGTGCTGGCCAGGATGCCTCCATTTTGCCTGTAGGAAAGCCTAAGATGTAACACTAAGGGCTTGGGAGCTTTATCTACAGTTTGAGGGTTTAAGATGTCAGATGGCCCGTGAGGAGGAGCTGGAGAGATAGCTCAGTGGTTAAGAGCACTGGCTGCTCTTGTAATGGACTGGAGTTTGATCCCAAGCACTCACATCAAGCAACTCACAACTGCCTGTTCTATCTCAAAGGCAGTGGTTGGGAGTCACATATCAAATAGCTTGCATATCAGATATCTTCATTCCAATTCATAACAGTAGCAAAATTACAGGTATGAAGCAGCAACAATATAATTTTATGTCTGGGGGGTCACCACAACATGAGGAACTGTATTAAAGAGTCACAGTATTGGGAAGGTTGAGAACCAGTGCTGTAGGGGAACCAACACCCTCTTCTGGATCCAAAGGACACCTGCACTCATCTGTACGAAACCTCCACACAGACATATGCATATACATAGATATTTTTTAAATATTTATTTTTTTAAAAAAATTGTTCTAACGTATGGGTACAGTGTCATTCCTATGGGTGTCAACGGCAAGAGAATCTTCAAGTGTGTAGACAACATTCTTTCCAGGTAATGAAATATGAAGCTGGCAAAATGATGATGCCAGGGTTAAAGGAAACCAAATATCAGTTCCTCATTTCTGTTACTGTTTTAGGTTAATAAAGCAGGAAGCCCACATAAAATTGAGAATATATCCTAGAAACAAGATCCACTAGACAGATCTTTCACTCAAGGCAGAGCCTGAGCTTCAATCCACAGGTGTCCCCAGGCAGAAGGTCCCCTGAAGGAAGCTTGAAAGAGGGCTGAAGGAATCTGTGCAGGATACTCTTTATTTGCTTACTTTCTCCAGACAGCAGAAGAGGCACTAATGGATCTGAACCTACCAGATGCTTTTTAAAATGAAATGAGCGCTGGAAGGATTGCTAACACAAAGTATGGATGACCATCTCTGTCCTTCAATTTTATAACTCCTCATTGTTCTGAAATAGAGGTGTATACCAGAAAAATCACAATGGCTTTGAACTATGGATCAACACAACATGTGAAGACACGAGGCCCCCAATATTAGTGAGTAATACCTCATTAAATTCTGCATGAGCCACCAGCAAAAGTGCTGCAGTCCTCTAGCTGAGTTAAGCGTTCAGTAACTGAGCTGCCTTATAACCAGCTGAATTTCCATATTTGGAAACGGATTCCCACCTATATCTGAATTCCACCTAGCAACCTCTATCAGAGTTTCCTGAGCATGAGAAGGCTGCGTTAAATTTTATTTTATTCCATTTGTTTATTCATTATTTACTTGTGTGTATGTATACATGCTACAGCATGTATATGAAGCTCAGAGAACCATGTGCCAACTTGCAGGTGTTTTCTCTTCCTGTCTCATGGTTTCCAGAGATTGGGCTCAGGTCATCAGGCTTGCCAGAAAGTGCCTTTACCTGCCGAGACAACCTCCCTGCCTGGGTTAAATTTTACTGGTGATTATTTCACACCAGGGGTCTAGTCTCAAAGAATATTCTTCCTTTACTTATGCTCATAAAAAATAAAATAAAAGGGCATACTTAAAGTCATTTAATTAATTTTTTTCAATAAAAGTAGGAAAAGAACTATTATTTTGTTTTATTAACAGTTCTTCGTTGTTATGGGGGTTGCTGGGTTCTAATGGTTTTACTGGGTAGAGAAAATATGAAAAACTTGCTTTGGGCTTACCCATTAAAATATAATTATTAAAAAAACTAGTCTCCAAACAATCCTTACTCTGCTGAGTTCTGCTACCTGCCAACTTGTTCTGCATGTATTGCTTATGCCTAATTTCATATTCACACTTCAGGGAGACATGTGGGGACTGCTGCTGTCATGTTTTACCTTTCAGACCGTGATGGGGAAGAAGGGTTCTTTTGAGGGAAGAGAGTCCCAGAGGGAAAGTACCTGTCTCCCCAGAGAGTGGAAAGCAGACCTGCAGGCATCAATGACTCATTGCAGAAGTGGGTAGTCTTAGCTACAGTGAGAAGGGAAGGCATTTAGAAGGAGAGATGACAGGCCAGGTAGAGTAAGTTGAGGGAAGCCTGCTGAGGTGCAGATAAAGACAGAAGGCAGGGGTTGGCTCCCCGGAGAGGTAGGAGTTCATCAATAGAACTCTGAAGGAGAGGATGGTGCTGGAGCTGTGGCACTCTGGGAGTGCTCAGGTGAGACTGCTTTAGGAGTACAGCTCAGGAACAATTTTCTCATTGGGCCTTTCATTCATTACACATCCTCCTATAACTCTATTGCTTATGGGCCAACGGGGTCAGCAAGCCCATTGGATGAAGCGCTACCTAAAGGAGGGAGGAGCCAGGTGTAGCACTGTGTGCCTTTATTCCCAACACTCAAGACGTTGAGGCAGGAGGATCGCTGCAAGTTCAATGCCAGCCGGGTCTACATAGAAAGCTCTGTGCCAGTCAGAACTACACAATAAGGTCCTGTCTCAAAACACAGAAGCTAAAAGCCAAGGAGGAGGCTGCTTTTAGCTCTGGGGGCTCGGTGACATTCTGAGAACTATGGTGTCATCAAATACTCCAAGTCCTTCAAAGTTTTTCACAGGACCTTTCCAGGGACATGATTTTTAATCAAACATGAGACTAAACTAATTGGAGTGCTTCAAAGTAGTTGTTCTGCACTATCTCTGAAGTTTATCTGGGGATTATGTCGTCCCGGCAGCATGGCTGCTGAGTAACCACTCACTATCCTGAGACACACGGAACAGAGGCTGCGCCTGCCCAGAGATTGCTGGGGGAGCTCAGACCACCCAGACACTCAGGCTCACAGAGAATTAAAATATTTAGGACAGATTTTGACACAGTAAACCACGTTCAAGAATCACAATCTTGTGTTTATACTGACCAAAGATCCCCCTTTTCTCCATTCGACCCCTCCTTTTGTTGTCCTTAAAATGACAAAATTTGGCTTAGCTTGAGATCAAGGCTACTTCTTTAGAATCTTTGACTTTGAAGCAGAATTGAATCAAACAATTTTAGTTTCCACTTAATATAAACATCATGTTTTATCTCTGCCTAGACCATATCTCCCATCCTTTTCAAGTCATTGTAGATTAACTCTCACTAGCACTAACCATGAACATTTAGCAAATGTACATATCAGAACAGAACATTTTGTCCTATTGTAGTTCAGACATAAACTTTCTATCCTTCATTGAATAGACTTAGATCGTTCTTCTTGGAATGTCAGATTCCTAGAGAACTGGGGTGTTTCCTGCCTTTTATCTTGCCATATTACTGCCTCCACCCCCAATGTATTCCTGGCTGGCCTGATATTCACTATGTAGTCCAGGATAACTCTCCTCCAGTCTCAGCTTCTTGAGTGCTGGGCTTACAGATAGGCATCACCAAAGTTGGTTCCAAAAAATTATGCTAATGAGAAGAGTGAGGAAAGCTAGACAGTCATTGTGAGGCTTTGGGTTGTTACCCACTCTTGTCACTCTCTGTGTGTCCTTTAAAAAGCAGCCATACTGCCCCTGAGACTACTGCCTTCCAAGAGAGATGCTGCTGGGATCCAAGAGGGTCATGGTTTTGAGATGAGGACAATGTTTGCCAAAAGTGCCCCTAGCTCTGCCCTACAGCCCAACTGCTGTGACATGACTGTATACGAAGAGCACTCTGTTTGGTGATGTTTTCTATAACTTCTGGTGATTCCAAATATTAAGCACACATATTCTTTCACCCATACATGTATTTAACTTATTCAATAGGATCAGTGCCGAATCAAAAAGAGGTGATAGTTGTGATTCACTCTTGTGTACAATTGAGTTTACTATTTCTTTAATTACTTATGCTAAAATGATGTTTTATTTAGAAGAGCATAATAGAGAGGATAGCTAGAAAACATTGAAATGTATAGGCAATAAAGATTAAAGTGAATAACAAAGATAATGTTTACAATTTATAATGTTTTCTTAAAGTCTTTTTATATGTCCATACAATGTTTGGACAGCACACACACACACACACACACACACACACACACACACACCCACACCCACACACACCACCACCACCACCTCCAACAACAACAACAACAACAAAATGGGGTTTGCATCCTTAACATTTTTCTCATGTTTTGTTCTAGACATTTCAAGTTCTCATTAGAAATCTCATAAATATGAACAATGATGGCACTGGATGTCTGCACTATCTTTTAGTGACATTACCCTGTTGGTTGAGTTTGTTTGTAACTTTGAATGACCATAAACAAAAATAATGCTTCCTCGACTGACTTTGTGCTTAAATCCTTGCTTATATTTTGCTGAAATTCCTGAGATAGGATTTTCAAAAGTGAAACTAACAAGTGGTGTTTCTGAATTTTTGAGAACTTGATACATATTTCTGATTTTCTGCCACTATTGGTATTTATTTATGCTGTTACTAACTGGACCATATTCTCAGACTACTGCCCTCATGAGACTGCTAGTACTGCCATACTAGTCTCATGTTTAACTGTGGAACTGTAGAATAATTTCATAAACAAGAACTCTTTCTGGGTCTTTCGGTAGGGAGCACATTCGGATCCCATCAGTTAGCCACTTGGTTAATTACTCCATCTGCTTTTCCTCATCCACTATACTGAATTGAGAAGGGAAGAGTTTCTCATGTTGATGGATGAGTTTATTAAATACCTGAGTTTATAAAATCAAGGACTCAAGACTCAGTGAAACTTGTCATTGCCTGGGACATTGTAGACATGCTTGATTCTCCCCCTCTAAGCACTGTAGAGACACAGCTAAATAAAATAACTAAAAAATTGTCTTCTGTTTTTAGTTTGGATCTTAAATGTTATCAGAGCCTCCTGTATCGAAGGTCTTGTCTTTGATATAGCAGTGTTCAGAGAGGACCCTCTGGGAGAGACTGGATCATGAGACTCGGTCCTGGTGAAGAAATCAGCCCATTCGTGGACTCTCCAGTGTGCTTTTGAGGATCTAGAGACTTCAGATGCTCATTGGAGATAGAAGGTCACTGGAGTTATACTTTGAAATGGTGTGTTTTATTTCTGACCACCTGCTTCTTCATGATTGCCATGAAGAGGTGAGCTGCTTTGCTCTGATGTACACTTCTGCCATAGTGACTAATTGTATAGGCCTAAAGATACCGGGCTAATTGACCACAGCCAAAGTGGACTAAATCCTGAGCAGAGACAAACCTATTCTTCCTTAAGCTTATTTTGTCACAGTAGAGAAAGCTAAGACACCAGGTAATGTTTCACTTTGAGACCCTTGTGTAGGCAGGAGTTTCCCACCAGCAACTCCCAAATAAGCATACAGAGGCTTACTATTAACTATAAATGCTCGGCCAATAGTTCAGGCTTGTTACTAGCTAACTTACATTTAAATTAACCCATATTTCTTATCTATGCTTTGCCGCATGGCTTGGTACCTTTTCTCAGTACAGCTTGTCCATCTGGCTTCTCACTGGCTACTCCAGACTCTGTCCTTTCTCCCAGAATTCTCAGTTTGGTTCTCCTTATCCTGTTCTGCCATTGGAACAGTCAGCTTCTTTATTAACCAATGAGAGTAATGCATATTCACAGTGTACAGAAGGATTATCCTACATCACCCTTGGAAGAACAGGTTAGACACCAAGCTATGCCTTTTATTTAATGCTGTTATAAACTGAGGAAATCTTTAAACTGTCCCTGAGGGATTGGAAAGAGGAAAAGATTTTTCGTTCTTACATTTTTGCCAGTGTAGTTAAGTTTATCAAAGGCAAAAGAGCCCCTTCCAGCCACTGTCACGAGGCTGTACTCCAGTGTCTTTCAGAACACATCCCATGTCTGTATGTATCTATAAGATGAGACTGGTGAACTGACTGAATATTTGATTCCTCTCAATGATTGTAATATTCTGGGCATTTGACTGCTTACCCAAAGAGATGTTTCTGGAAGGTTCAGGTTTGAGATTTAAAGGGTTATTTGAGAAAGGGCACAGCAACAGAAACCCAAAACACACTTGATTTAACTAGTATTTGACCACCGAGAACAATTGTGTCTGGGTTTAGAGATAAGACCAAGTGTTCAAACATGTACGGTTTTCTCTAAAACTGGGAAGGCAGGTTGCCTTCGTGTGTTTGTGGAGATGGAAGACAGTCCTGAAAATAGTTAGATGAACAACATAAAGCTTTGCTTAAGCAGCGGCTTAAATAGGACTGCAAACTCTACATTTATTTCTCTCCAAGGTAGAGAGTCAACTGGACAAAATTCAGTTGTTGATCCCCAAAACTGCAGCCAGAGAAAAGGGCCCCAGTATAATGTGGTGAAAGAACAGGCTGTAGACCTGCTAAGTTCAGACTCCATGCACAGTGAAATGTAGTGAGAATAGACTTCAGGCTATGACAGCTTCTACATCTGCCAATCTACTGTCTCTGAGGTGTAACGGGGAAACTGCTGTATTCAAAATAAGACAAGAAGAACATCGCATGGGGCTGGCGCTGTGGCTCTGTAGGTAAAAGTGCTTGCTGTATCACTGCGAGAACCTGAGTTCAAATGCCCCAAACTAGCATAAAACTGGGGTTGGGAGCACTGGTCTGGAACCCCAGTGCTCCAAAGGCAAGATGGGAGGCAGAGGCAAGAGTATCCCCGGAAACCTGAAGACATGTTAGTCTGGTGCACACAATGGTGAACAGACAGAGACAAACAAGGTATGAGTGGGGGACCCATACCAGAGGCTGTTTTCTGACCTTCACACTTGTGCACATACATACCTATACACACGCATCCCTTTCTCACACACAAAATAAAAAACAAAAAGGGTGGGGGAAGAAACAACATTCTCTGAAGCAGGGTTTCTGAAACTTTTCCACTCACAATCCCCTTTCACCCAATACATTTTTTTAGACAACCCTGGCTATTAGGTATCTAAGGCAAACATTTACTGAAAACAAACCATTAAGAAATTTGCTTTGAACAAGTCCTTGCTACACATGTAATTTTGCCATTTATTAAAGATGAAAGCAAGCTTGGCTGCTAGTCAGATGGATGGACTTGCTTGGTTATTTTTTTAAAAAAATATTTACTTTAAATTATTTATGTGTATGTGTCTGTGTATATATATCAATGTGGAGTTGTCTGTGGAGGCCAGAATAGAGCATGAAATCCCCCAGGACTGGAGTTACAAGAGGTAGGAACCCTCACCAAGTGGATGCTGGGAGGCGAACTCTGAGCTTTCAAAGAGCAGAAAGCCCTTTAACCACTGACCTATCTCTCAGCCCCTTGCTTGGTTATTTTGACAAAATGACTTCAACTTTTTGCATGTGTGTTTGGTGTTTTATAACATCTTCAAAAATTTTCAGAATTGATCAATATATTGGTTTTATGATGTTCAATTCTGAGAGTGTAGCTTTGCATAATTTGTAGCACAAAACGGCAGATATGTTTAGGCCACTTCAGAAATTGTTATAAATTCTGTCTTAATTTCACACCCATTTTCTTTTTCTTGAGACAGGCTCTTATTATGTAGCCTCTGATAGCTCGAAACTTGCTGTATAGACTAGACTGCCTTGAACTCACAGAGATTCACCTACCAAGTGCTAGGATTAAAGGTGTGCACCACCATGCCTGGCTTAACATTTTTTAAAAAATGAAGTTCAAGTCAGCAACTCAATCAGCAAGTCTTAAAGCCAAATACTCCAACACAGTAAGATGCAAATATATATACTCATTCAATATTGACATGCCAAAGAAAGATGATGAAATGCTGAAACACTTTTATCCATTATGTCTCTGTAAGAGTGGGAACCTTTGTATATACTGCAAATTGCTGTGCTGCATCGCATGTGGCAGTCTGGAATCTGAGCCAGGTGTTTGGCCACTGTGCACTGGTGCTGCGTGTATGTTGTGTGTTTGGAACTGAAGCTACAGTGAAGTCATGCGGCACAACACAGCTGCCAGAAGCACCTTGGAGTCATTATGTTTTGGTTGTAAATTATGTTTCTTTTCATATTCAGAAACATTTTACTGTTGCCAAATGGTCTGTGACACCTAAATTCAGTTCCAGGGCCCAGGTGGGTCGTGACCCCTAGTTTTATACAGACAGCATTGTATAGACTTAATGTATTTAAAAAGAGTACATGAAACTGGGAGGGAGGATGGGGGTGAAAGGAGTCAGAGGGGAGGGATAGGGGGTGGATTTGAAAACACATTCTATGCGTGTATGAAATTCTCAAGCAACAGCATTTTAAAAAAGAAGCTGAGCTGTATGGAGGAGTGACAGTGACTGTATGTCTAGAGCTTGTTCTATGAGAATGACATTATTTACTGTCAACCCTATGCTCTCTTTCTTCTTGCAGTCCCATTCTTCTATTCATGGTCCCCTTTGAGGGACAGAACATTAAAAACAGAACACCAGCTTAGTGAGACTCAGAATCTGATCCCAATTCGAAGCCAAAGGCTGTCCACAGAGTGAGTACCCAGCATTGCAGTACTCTGGGGCAGGGTACAAGAAAGGCTATTTCTCATGACTCAGATTAAAACCACAACAACACTGCTGATCAAAGGTGAATATAGGTTAAAAAAATACCTATCTGATTTAAAGTTTGGTCTCAGATCCAAAATAATACATCTTCTAATAATTGTCCCATGGATATGACAGTCCTACTAGCTAGCAGAGCTTTCCTTCAACCCAGATGTCAGAAGAACATGACATAAAAGAAGCTCCCACCTTGCTATTTCAGCAGAAATGGACTGCTGAGGCCAAACTTAGGTATTCATGGCCACTGTGCAAGCCGACCTTGTGCTGGCATTCTGAACAGACTCCAAAGGATCTGATTTAGGTGATCCTGCTATAACTAGATGCCAAGAACTCAAATGTGATGGATTGTCTCAGAGTCAATGCCAACTTTACTGGGTGTGTTGTGGATCTTGCAACATGAATGGATTTATGCTATAGAGTTTGACAGCTGTGGCGCCAGAAGATAAACAGAATTACAAGATCATTCATGAAAGCCGATCTTGCTGGCAAAACAGGAGAACACATGGCTGGCCAAGTTCTTTCAAGATCAGACAGGTCCTGACAATGGCTTTATCTTGGATGTTCTGAGAGATGCCCCTCCACCAGCTCACAGCAGCCAAATTTATGTGAAGGCTGTCAGGTGTCTAGAGGCAAAGCTCATCAGATGGTGGTTGGACTATCAGCTAAGTATCACACTCTTAAGGACAAGACACCAGCAAGGAAGATGAAGACTTACTGTTTGTTCTCTGCTCAAGAGAGTAAGAGATGACTAGGAACTAGCTTGAGAACAGCGTCAGCTAAGAGAAAGAAATTCATTCAAGTACAACTCATTTGAACTTGGCATGGACTATAAAAGAAGACTATTTTGGGACAACCTGAAATAGATTTAAATTAGACAAAAAAATCCATAATAAAATATTTGTGTATTTGAAGCTTAAGGAAAGAAACCTTTCTCCTGAACAGTCTTTGCATGTTTTGCTTTTTCTGGGCCACACAGTTATTAATTGCATATTTTCCCAGGAGCCATTCAATCCTCTTTTCAAACCACCACTCTGTGAAGTAAGATGATATGCATGTTGGCATTGTGAGTTCCCTTTGCTGGTTGATAAGAAAAGGGAAGAATTTCAAAGGCATTGCTTTAACTCAGTTTGGTTTTATGGAAATAGGAAGGCCCCAATCTCTGAAAATGTGGATGCCTAGGTTTTCTTGATTGTGAGAGTGTTCACTGCACCCTCAGAGTAGCTAACAAAGCCAAGGTCACGTGATCAGAACCCCCTCCTCTTGGAATCCCAGAGGCCAGCTGACAGGCCCAAGACCTGACTTTCCTTCAGAGGAAAACATAACCTCTGAAGGCTGCAGCTTCTTTGGCAAGCTTGTCCTTGGCCTGCTCATCACAGTGCCTTGGCCTTCCCATCCTTCAGCAACCCTGACTCTTCTACATGATAATCCAGCCTTTGTTCACTCTACAAGAAGTTGATAAGGGCAATCAAAAAAGCTGAGGCCTGGGAACCAGGAATTAAGGCTGGAGTTTTGGTTCTTAATAGTTGACCGTGTAACCATGAACATGTCAATTCTTGATTTAGTCTTAGTGTAACGCTCATGATTTGGAAGGCTACATGATTTCTGATGATGTCTCAAGTGGAACTTTCCTTCAGTTCAGCTAATTCATGTTTAGTTATGTGCATAGAACGCAACCTGCTCCTTCTTCCAGTTGCTTTCTCTGCTGCAGGACTGACAACCTTGCAGAAGGATACAGAGGTGGCAACAAAGTCCACTGTGCTGAAAAAGCTGCACATCAAAGATCAGTACAGACTTTTGCTATCACCATAGGGGAGAGCCACATCTACTTAGCCTTTTCCTGGCCAGGCTCTGCTTGGAGACTTCTTCTTCTTCTAGTCCCTTGTAATGACCATTCTAATTGGAACTCATCTAGATAAAAATGATGAAATAAGACTGTAACCAGAGGCTTTTCTGTCCCACTTGGCTGCACAGCCATTTCTAAATAATCACTTAGAAACTTAATATTAATTATAAATGTTTGGTCCATGACTCAGGCTTATTACCATCTAGCTCTTACAATTAAATTAATCTGTGCATCACCATGTGGCTTGTGGCTTGCCATTGGTGCTCTGGCATGTTGCTCCTTAGGTGGCTGCTGGTGTCTCTCAAGCTCCACCCTTCTTCTCCAGTATCTCTGCTTAGATTTCTGTCTGGCTCTATCCTGCCTTACCATAGGCCAAGCAGCTTTATTTATCAACCAATGAGAGCAACACATATTAGCAGAAAGACATCCCATATCATAAGGCCAAGTATACGGAAGGGTTTTAGCCAAGTCTTGAACCCTTCCCAAGAATGACCCATATTTTGATGTAGACATACAGGGCAGTACAAGGGAGCTGATGTTTAAATCTATTCTTTGCAGCTTACAAGTGAGTTAGGCCAGCAAAGCAAATAGCTATGCAGGGATTCAATTTACTTTTATGATTTTTAAAAATTATTATTTTTATTTTTTGAGATTATAATCTAATTACATCATTTCCCATTTCCCTTTCCTCCCTTCAAACCCTAAGTTATTAATCACCAAGTCTGGCTTTTGTAGGATTTTAAAATTCCATAACAATGGTGGTTAAAGTATGAGAAATGGAGTTAAGCTCTCCAGAACTCACATAAATACCATGATAACCTACCAGTAATTCTAGCCTCTGAATGTGAAGACAGCATTCCCAGGGCAGGCTGGCTAGCAAGGCCAGCCATTTCACTGAATTCTGGATTTGACTGAGAGACCTGCCTTGAAAAAATAAGATGGAAGGCTTACTGAAGATAAGTTCCAACATTAACACCAGGGCCTCTGCATGCTGCCATGCGCACATGTAAATGCACACCCACATGCTTGCAAAACAAGCATTATGCACACTACATACACACATACAAGCACACATGAAAATGGAAAAAGGAAAAGCAGCCCTGCTGCTCCCCATGCAGATTAATTCCTGGCTGAATTCAGAATAAAAGTCAATAAGGGTGGGTATAGAAGGTAAGGATGATGTGGACGGGCGCTGCCTCTTAGTACTTTTGCTCTTCTTCTGGAGAAAAACCTTTTCTTCCATTTTTAACAATCAGGACACAGTATGCATCATCACACTTTGGGTGTGAGATATAAAATGTATAGTTCCTTACAAATTTGGTTCACATATGACCATTTTTATTATTTTGTGAGTTTGGACAAGTTTTTCACCTTTCTAAGCCTTGAGTATCTCCACTTTACAGAGGAGAGCCCAAGCTCCCTTCAGGGCTATGAATATTAAATGAGTCAATTTGCATGTGTGCTTGGTATTTGGAAATTGTTTAATAAATAGTAGGTATTCTTAAGAAAAGTCAGCTTCCAGGGGTGCCACAAGGGGCTGATAATGGATGGACACACACACACACACACACACACACACACACACACACA